ATGTAAGAAAAAATTCTTGCTTTGATTATCATTGATGGTTTACTGTCAGAAGGAAAAACAATGTATTTTCTTAAAAAACAGAGCTAAAAAATCAAATCTACCCCTAAGGATAACTAGGACCGATTTATAGTTAATGATCAATGAAGTACCAAGATCACTTAGAGATCAGAACTAACTTCGATCATTTCCCCAATTTGGGTGTTACACATAAATGGAAGAAGCAATATATTTTCTAGGATCTTTCATACTGGCGGACTAATTTGATTAAGCATAATCTCAATATTATGCATACCGAGAAGAATTTGTTTGATAAGATCTTCAATAATGGGATAGATAATACATAGAGAGTTGGAGAGCCAGACCTCGACATCCGCTAGCAGCAGTGGTAGCCAGTCTACCATTGCACGGTCTTATTTTGAGGCAGCAGTGGGAGCCAGTCTACTTCTGTGCGGTTTGATTTTGAGGCAGTAGTGGCAGCCAGTCTACTACTGCGCAGTTTGATTTTGAGGCAGCAGTGGTAGCCAATCTACTACTGCATGGTCTGATTTTGTGCGATGGAAGCAAGCGGTGGCAAAGAATAAGGGGATGGTCTATGGCCTGAGCTCGAAGGGCATAACATTCGAGGATGAACTCTCTCGTGCTCCAGTCGGTGGCTCAAGCTCATTGCAGGCATAAAGAGCTTGTGTGCAGGTCAGTGCTATAAATGAAGAGCACCGTCTGATGCATAATCAGATGCATGACTTGATCAATATTAAAAATTTATTGTTAATATAATTAATTGGGAAATTATATGAGAAAATAATTTGAGGAGTTTTTTGAGAAAATATTTATTATGATCTAGTAACACAAATAATAAATAAATTAGAGTTTGCAACAGTAATCTTATAAATTTAGTTCGATAGTATAAAAATTACAATAAAAAGTTGAGAAATTTTAAATTTTATTTGCACAAATGACATGAATATTTTTGAGAAACGGATATTGTTTGATCAATTCATCTCTGGAGGAATTGTCAAATTCTTAATTTGACATATTTTAGTAGTGTGACTATATGTTCAAATTTAAGTTTTGAGTATGATACTTATGTTTTAGAATTACATTAGGGGCCTAAACTGGTTAAGTCGAGCACGAATCAAGCTGGATTAATTAATCAAAATCGAGCTCGAGCTTTAATTAACTTATTTAACAAATAATTGATTAAAAGCTGAACATAAAATGTTCTTGATTAAACAAATTTATGCTTGAGCTTAACTATTTAACAAAGAAATTAACTACATGAATTTAACTACATGTTCCACTCTAAATCTTCACTAAAAAGGAGCTTTTTTTTTACAAGCGAAGCTAATATTTAATATTTATGTTATAATACATTGCAGATAATTTATAAATATAAAAAAATGAATATTAAAAATCTTAATTGAGGCATTTGACCATAAAATATTTTCTAGTTGAGTTATTTTCACCCTATTTAAATTAAAATATGCATGAATTATTTTTTTCAGATTTAAACTAGATAATATACAATTATTACGATAATTAGCAATAAAAATTTGAATTTAAAATTTGAACTTCTGAACCGTTGTAAGAGATTTTACCGTTGAGAGAGATTCAAAAATTGCGCTTCTTCTTCTTGTGCTATAAAAGTGAAGTGAAAATAGGTTGGGATTCAAAATTATACATTTCCTCTGTCTTTCTTCCTCGGCTGCTTCATCATCGATAACAATGGCTGGCGGAGGGCGGAAGAAGACCGAACTGAAGCTGATAGAAAGCAAACAGTCGCGGCTTGTGTGCTTCAGCAAACGCCGCTCGGGTCTATTCAAAAAGGCGAGAGAGCTTTCGATCCTGAGCGGGGCTCAAATTGGAGCGCTTGTCTTCTCCCCTGCCGGTAAGCCCTTCGTCTCGGACGTCGCCGCCATGGATTTCCTCCTCAAGATTTGAAATTTATGATGCGGTGGAGGTAAATGAGCCGCCTTTCTGGTGGGATGTACCTTTGCAAGGGATGGGGTGTGAGGAGCTTCTCCAACTTGAGAGAAGAATGTTGGAGTACGGTGAGAAGAAGATGTCAGGCTTCCAGCAGATGGATTGCTAGCCGAGAGAGCGGGCGGTTAGAGAATGAATCAGGAGAGCTACAATTGCAGACAGATGAAGACTAGTGTGAGGGAGGTCTAAGTTCTCCGGCTTCTTCCACTGGCAACAATATTCTCCTAAATCCATTGTTGTATATTCTGTTAGAGAGAAGAATTTCTCCTCTTCTCGTTTTAGCTCTGTTTTGAAAATGTATTGTCCACCCTCATTCTTAGTTTTCTTAGAAGATGATTTGGTATATGTTTGATTTGATATTCATACTACTTGATTTTGATGAAACCATATAACTTTCAATTTCATGTTTTTGTTTTTATGTACCATATTTGCGTTCGCTTTTTTTGGTGCTCTTGAAAGAGGGTTTCACAGATTTCTGCCTGTAACCCTAAACAAAAAATAAATACATAAAAAAGAAATGAATTGACAAAAATATTGCTCATGGCTACACACTAAAGAAATTTTACCATCATTAAGACAATGGATGGAATTTTGAAAAATGGAAATATGGTTGAAGGCAAAATGCAGATTTTGCGGTACTTAAATATTTAAACCAAAGGGGCAAAATGGTAAAATTCAGAAAAAATATTTCATACAAGTATCTCTTATACTTGCAGCTTATATCCTGATTTCAATGACTATTCACTTTTATGCTTACAGTTCCACACATGACATGTCACAGAATTTGGTCGTTTGATGCTAATTCAATGAGTCATCCGTCACATGATAAAGCCTTGAGATATTTTGAACATAGTCATTTTAACTTTGCAGTTGAACCATGCAAGGTTAGACTTAGTTTATTTGTTGATGGGTTCACACCATACAGTCACACCACAACACCATATTCATATTAGCCAATGCTAATTACGCCAAATAATTTGCGCCCTAATATGTGCATGATTGCGTCGTTCTTATTTTTGATTTTAATCATGCCAAGTCCACATCCCAAAAGAAAAAAAAAATACATCTAATTACAGCCTCTGATTGAAGAACTTCATACATTGTGGGAAATGGGTGTGCTGACTTATGATATCACTTTGAAATATAACATTCAGTTGAAAGATGCTCTTACATAGACAATTAGTGATTTCCCACTTATTGGATTTTATTTGGTCAGAGCACAATCGAGAAATTGGTTTGTCCATAGTGCATGGATATATCCAAAGCATTCACTTTAAAACATGGAAGAAAATATTCATGGTTTGATTATCATTGAAGGTTTTCATTCAGAAGGAATAGAGATGCATTTATCAAAAAATAGAGCTGAAAAATCGAATTCACCCCCGAGGATTACTAGGACTGATTTATGGTTATTGATCAGTGAAGTACCAAAGATCACTAAGAGAAAAGAACTAGCTTCGATCATTTTCCTAATTTGGGTGTTACACATAGATGGAAGAAGCAGTGTATTTTCTGGCATTATTATATGCTGGAGGATTAATTTGATTAAACATAGTCTCGAAATTCTGCATACCGAAAAAATTTTGTTTGATAATATCTTCAATAATGTAATGGATATTAAGCTTAAAACAAAAGAAAACATCAAAAAAAAAATTCTATAACATATTTATTATTGTGATGGATACTCATGTTAAAAATGACAATTAATCCTTGCTTTTAGTTATGTGGGAGCAATACGAGCAGCTCCAGAAGAGGCATAGGGAGTTGGAGAGCCAAACTCTGACATTCGTCAGTAGTAGTGGTAGCCAGTCTACCATTGTGTGGCCTGATTTTGAGCTAGGGCTGCAGGCCGTGGTAAAGAATAAACGGAGGGTCTACCGCTTGAGCTCGAAGGGGATAACATTCGAGGATGAGCTTTCCCGTGCTCCTATGGGTGACTCAAGCTTGTTGTTGGCGAAACATAAAGAGCTTGTCAGGCAGGGTAGTGCTATAAAAGAAGAGCTTCGTATGATGCATAATCAGATATGTGGCTTGATCAATATTAAAAAATTATTGTTAATATAATATAATTAATGGAGAAATTATATGAGAAAATAATTTGAGGATTTTTTTGAGAAAATATTTATTATGTTCTAGTACTACAAATAATAAATAAATTAGAGTATGCAACAATTATCTTATAAATTTAGTCCGATAATATAAAAATTACAATAAAAAGTTGAGAAATTTAAATTTTTAAGTTGTGCAAATGACATGAATATTTTTTAGGAGCTTGATCAATTCATATCTCTAGGTATTGTCAAATTCTTAATTTGACATATTACAGTAGTGTGACTAGATGTTCAAATTTAAATTTTGATTATGATCTTTATATTTTTAGAATTACATTTGGGGCCTAAACTGGTTAGGTCGGGCATGAATCAAGCTTGTTTATTAATCAAAATTGAGCTCGAGCTTTAATTTACTTATTTAACAGATAATTAATTATAAGCTGAACACAAAATGCTCTTAATTAGTTAATAGAGTTTGAGCTCGTGTTTGATCTTAACTATTTAACAAATAAATTACTTACATGCTCAACACGAATATTCACTAATAACGAGTTTTTTTTTTTTAATTTTTTAACAAGCGAAACTAATATTTATTATTTATGTCATAATATATTGCAGATAATTTATAAATATAAAAAACGAATATTAAAAATTTAATTGTTATATAATGCGCTTAAACGAGACATCTGATCGTAAAATATTTTCTAATTGAATTATTAATACCCTATATAAATTAAAATTTGCGTGAATTATTTTTTTCCAGATAATATACAATTATTACGAAAATTAGCAATAAAAATTTGAATTTGGAATTTAAACTTCTAAACCGTTGTAAGAGATGTTACCGTTGAGAGAGATTCAAAAATTGCGCTTCTTCTACTTGTGCTATAAAAGTCAAGTGAAAATAGGTTGGGATTCAAAATTATACATTTCCTCTGTCTTTCATCTTCGGCTGCTTCATCGATAACAATGGCTGGCGGAGGGCGGAAGAAGACCGAACTGAAGCTGATAGAAAGCAAACAGTCGCGGCTTTTGTGGTTTAGCAAACGCCCCCCGGGGCTATTTAAAAACGGGGCTCAAATTGGAGCGCTTGTCTTCTCCCCTGCCGGTAAGCCCTTCGTCTCGGACGTCGCCGCCATGGATTCCCTCCTCGGCTTGGAGAAAAGATGTGAAATTTATGATGCGGTGGAGGTAAATGAGCCGCCTTTCTGGTGGGATGTACCTTTGCAGGGGATGGGGTGTGAGGAGCTTCTCCAACTTGAGAGAAGAATGTTGGAGTACGGTGAGAAGAAGATGTCAGGCTTCCAGCAGATGGATTGCTAGACGAGAGAGCAGGCGGTTAGAGAATGAATCAGGAGAGCTACAATTACAGACAGACGAAGGCAACAATATTCTCCTAAATGGATTGCTTGTATATTCAGTTAGAGAGAAGAATTTCTCCTCTTCTCGTTTTTTGCTCTGTTTTGGAAATGTATTGTCTACCCACATTCTTAGTTTTCTTAGAAGAAGAATTGGTATATGTTTGATTTGATATTCATATTACTTGATGAAACCATATAACTTTCAATCATATAACTTTCAATGTTTATAACTTTCAATGTTCTTCTAATTTTTTTATATTTATATACCATATTTGAGTGGCGACAATTCTATTTTTGATTCACCTTCGCTCTTTTTGGTGTTTTTAAAACAGGGTTTGACAGGTAGAAACACGGTAAAAGAAGATCAGAATGGAAAATTTACATACGTCCCACACAATTTTTATGTATTTGTATATATAATACCTAAACTTCAATTTTTGCGTATATGTCACCTTGCCAATGCATCAGAAGATGTATTTAATCTTTTAGAAGTTAAAATAGTGCTATTTATTTCTGAGAAATGATTGACTTGAGTGGTATAGATGTAAAAACAAAGTTTAGGTGTTAGATTTGTAGATGATGCAAGAGTGAGGTGCAGTATATGCAAATGCAGTTTATGATGATTTTGAATTTTGAAAATGAAGATTTTGTTAAGCATAAAAATTTTAACACTTCATTTTAATTTTTGAAATATAAGGTTTGCATTAGCTTTGAAATTGGTGCTCATAATATAATTGTCTATCTCTTCTATCCATTCATAAGCTAGAGTTATCCAATTGAAATTACAAGGTCTTCAAGAATTTTTTTTCAAGCAATTGATTGAAATAGTTTTCTTCGTTCATTTTTACATCGTAATGGAATAAAGAAACAAAAATGTGTACTTAAAATCACTCAGGAAAGAATTCCTCAAGTTATTTCAGTGTTCAAGAAAAAAAGAAATATGATTGATGATTTTAGGATTTGCTTCAAATTGACATTAAAGATTACATTTTAAAGCAACTCATCAAAGCTGCAAATCATATTAATCGATTAATATATCTTCGTATCTTTTTCATAATAGATAGCCAAAAATTTAAATTCATTCAATTCCATAAGACAAATGCAAATGTATTTGCATCCAAATTAAGCGAAGAAAAAGCAAGAACGACACAAATCCAGAAGAACATAAAGAGATTTAACGTGGTTCGGCAAAGATGTCTACGTCCTCGAGAGCAGAGCGACGGCTTTTTACTATTCAAAAAAGAGTACAGAATTCAGGGATAATCCCTAGGGTTACATACAAGCCTAATTTATAACCCTAGAAAGTATATAATAAGAAAACCTTGGGTACAATATATAATTACCAAATTACCCATGTACCACACCCCCAACCCACATAAGGAAACTCCCCTGATTTGGACAGAAACTTCCGCTCTGCTCCGCTCCTGATTTAGCACTGTCCATTTATGGTATATGAGTCATATCTAACAAATCTCCACCTTGGCGAATATCCAACCTCTTAGGAGAAATACGTCATGGAGTTCATTTCATACCAGAAGTGAGTTGGGTCACCATGCTTCTCTAGCAACTGCAGACATTCAACAAGTCCAAGAAATACAAAAACTTATTCATACTAACTTACTTGGTCAACATATCAGCTGCATTCTCATCAGTATGAACCTTCTGCAACAGTATCTCTCCAGAGACAATCAATTCTCTGATCTTGTGATACCTGACATCAATGTGCTTGGTTCTCGCATGGTACACCTAGTTCTTAGCCAGATAAATAGCACTCTGGTTGTCACAATGTAACTGAACTTCACCTTGCTCAACGCTCAATCCCTTTACTAGCTCAGCAAGCCATAAGGCTTCTTTAGCAGCTTCAGCTACTGCAATGTACTTAGCTTCAGTTGTAGTGTAGATAATGCCACAATCACAATAGACTGAATTGTTGATTTTCAACATATAGGCCCTCCACCAAGAGTAAACACATACCCAGTTGTAGACCTTCTGTTATCCAAATCACCTGTATAGTTTGAATCAACTTATGCCACAACTGAAGGATCATTCCGCTGATTGCTAAAAATAATTTTATGTCCTATAGTACCCTTTAGATACCTGAAAATCCACTTGACTGTTTCTCAATGTCTCCTTCCAGGTTTAGCCATGTATTTGCAGACTTGACTAACAACATGAGCCAAATCAAGACGAGTACATACCATTACATACATCAAGCACATACATCAAGCAGTCAACTGCAACTGCACTGGCATATGAAACCTTTTTCCATGTCTTCGATTTCTGTATCTGTCTTAGGACACTGTTCTGAAGAAAGCCTAAAATAATTTGTCAAATGAGTGCTTACAGGCTTTGCTTTGCTCATCTCAAACATTTCTAGCACTTTCTCAACATAGCCTTGTTGAGATAAACATAATCTTCTTGAGCCTCTGTCTTGATGAATCTTCATTCCAAGAATCTTCTTTGCAGGATCCAAATCTTTCAAGTCAAATTCCTGGCTTAATAAAGCTTTCAAACCAAGGAAACCATTCATATTCTTTGCAGCAATCAATATATCACCAACATACAATAACAGAAAAATAATAGAACCATCATTAAGGCTCTTCATAATAACGCAACAATCATAGTCACATCTCTTGTAACCAATCTGAATCATGTAGGAGTCAATTCGTTTGTACCATTGTCTTGGAGACTGTTTCAACCAATACATCAATTTCTTTAACCTACAAATCAGATGCTCCTGTCCAGGTTGAGTGAACCCTTCTGGCTGCTCCATGTAAATTTGCTCCTCCAGATCACCATGAAAGAAAGCAGTTTTAACATCCATCTACTCCAAATACAAATCCCTAATAGCTACTAATGTAAGCACTGCTCTGATTGAAGTATGTCTGACCACATGAGAAAAGATTTCATCATAATTTATCCCCTTCTGCTGTGAAAATCCCTTTGCAACCAGCCGAGCCTTGAAATTTGTCCCTTCTTTTTCTGATACTACTGGTTTTCTTTTGTAGACCCATTTGCACCCAATATCCTTCTTTCCCTTTGGAAGCTGAACTAGCTCCCAAATACAATTTTTCTGCAAAAACTTCATCTCCTCAACCATTGCACCCATCCATTTTTCTTTCTCCTGGCTGGTGATAGCTCCTTGAAAAGTGGTTGGATCATCGCTGCTGATGAGAAGTGCACAAGAGACCAAGTCTTCATAACCCAATCTACTAGGAGGCCTTACATTGGTGCGTCTCTGTTTATCTCTGGTTAGATTATAATTCTACAGATTATCTAGAATAGAATCACCAGGTGTTGGATTTGACCTTTCACATCTCTCAAAAACTACTGGCTATTGTTCTAAATCCATTTGTGTTGCATCTGAACTGGAACTCTTCTCTGACACCTTGTATTGATTCTGTTGTAACATAAACTGCTCATCAAAAACTGCATCTCTCCTGATTACCATTCTCTTTGCAATCAGATCCCAAAACTTGTATCCTTTCACACCTTTCTTATAGCCTAGAAATATGCGCTTCTTAGATTTTACTCATTACTTTATTTTTGAAAGTTTTACATTAATACCACTTAATTCTTATGTCTTTACCTATCTAATACTAAATTTTGATTTTTTTTCTTACATGTCAACTTAACATGCGCATTGAAGGGTGTATGTCATATTTTAAAGGTTATAATAGTGGTATTTTTTTAATGTTTAGGGTGAAATATTTAGGTGACTTAAATGCATCCACCCAATGATGCTTTAGGTGATCTATTGACGAGATAGCATGCCATATTCACAGCTTCTGCCCAGAAACTCTTAGGAAGTCCTACATTCAGTCACAAGTACTTTGCCCTTTCATTTAAGTATCTGATCATTCTTTCTGCCACACCATTCTGCTGTGGTGTCTTGCGCACTGAAAAATACTTCTGAATCTCATGCTCCTCACAAAATTTCTGAAACTGCAAATCTGTGTACTCTGTGTCATTATCGGACCTTAAATACTTGATCTTTCTTCCAGTTTAATTCTCCACCTCAGTTTTCCATAGTTTGAATTTAGAGGAAACTTCATATTTCTGCTTCAAGAAATACACTGAAACTTTCCTGGAAAAACCATCAATAAAGGTAAAGAAATATTGAGATCCTCCCAATGACAACTCCTTAGTAGAGCCCTATACATCATAATGCACATAATCAAGAATCTCTTTAATTTTATGTTTTCCAGTCATAAAACTGACTCTAGTCTACTTTCCAAGCACACAGAACATACAAAGATCGAGCTTGTAGCTTTTAACACCATGCTACATGTTTCTTCTATGCAATTCTGCCATCCCACGTTCACTGAGATGACCCAGACGCATATGTCATAGCTTTGTACTATCATCATCTGACTCCACAGAATGAACACCACCTAAAATTGTACTCCCCAAAAGTTTGTAGATATTGCCTGCAGTTAAGTTTACTTTATTTACTGTCAGCTCACCCTTAACAATTCTAATGATTTCCCTATCCTCATCAGCCTTAGAAATAAAATCATTTTTGTGTAGAGTGCCCAAGGAAATCAAGTTCTTCTTCAAATATGGAATATGTCTGACATCATATAACATTCTAACTATGTCATCATGCATCTGAATTCTGACTTTTTCAATGTCGACAATATTGCAACATCTATCATCACCCAAATAGACTGAGCCAGAATTAGTTAACCTGTATGAAGTAAATCACTCATTGTTAGGTGTTATGTGATAAGAGCACCCTGAATCAAGAATCCATGCATCCCTGAACTTAGTTGATGAAACTGAGAGCATATTGTCATCACTGTAATATGAATTTTCATTCTGCACTACATTTACAGACTTTGATGAAGTATCACATTTCTCCCCAGTCTTTTTCTTCAGCTTTGGACAATCTCTCTTCCTATGACATTGCTCCTTGCACTTGTAGCAATAAATTTCTTTTTTGCCTTTGGATTTTGATCT